CCTTGTGCGCCATCCTCCAGCACTCAGCTACATCATCTACATCATTTTCTTCGTCCTCTTCATCATCATCATCATCATCTTCTTCTTCTTCTTCTTTTTCTTCTTCTCGCCCACCCTTTCTCAATCCCTACTCGCCATCCTCCACCACCCATCTACATCATTTACATCATCTACATCATGTACATCATCTACATCATCTTCTTCTTCTTCTTCTTCTTCACATGTCCCATGGACATCCACCATATCCCACTTTCGTTTTTTTTTTTTTTTTTGAGGGGTCGAAAGGGGGGAGAGGGGGGTACGAGGGTGTTCGTTGGCAAGCGGTCCCACCCTTTGTTGTTGAACGGCACCATGGTGGGCGGCGGCAGTGGCGTTGCAGCTGGCGGTGGAAGTGGCGGATCCGGAAGGAGGCGACCTCCTTCAGGATCGATGGACAAAGGAAAAGCCACTGCCAGCACAAGTGCTCCTAAGGAAAAGCCACTGCCAGCACAAGTGCTCCCACATCTGGGATGACTGCAAAGGAGCCCACTCCGACGTCAGACCCCTCACTGTTTGTTCCTCAAGATGACACTAGACAGGAGGAGTTGCAGAGAGTCTGGGAGGTGTTGAAATATGTGATACAGGGTCAAGAAGCCCTACCGAAGGGTCGAGAATAGTCTTGGCTGAAGTGTCGGCTATGCACGCAAATTTGGAGGGGCACGAGCACAAGGGCAATGGAACATTTAATGTTGTTGAAGCCGTGTCCCCTTAGGACATGGGAGATAGTACACAAACTCGTGCTCGCCGGTGAGAAGGTGTTGGCGACCGACAAAAAGACGAAGTACCTCCTGAAAAACTATAGGCAGTTGCATGACATTCCGAAAGGGGGGGGCGCTGCTACGGACACTCAGGACGTGGAACCTGTCATTTGCGGGTATGAGGAGCCGCAACCACCACCTGCTACAGGGATGGCACCACCAAAAACAGCTTCGCGAACAGAGTCGGTCGACGCTGCAGACGAGGGGTTTGCGGAAGGTTCGGGGTCAAACACGAGGGCGACATCATTGCAACAGACAACAATCAAGAATGGGTGGACAACACTGCACAAAAGAAGTTGAACATTGCGTGGGCGGAGACAATGTTCCGTGCTGGTATTGCATTCAACTTCCTGAATTTCGACACGACGCAGAAGCTCCACGAAGTTTACTTGGAAGTGGCAAATGTGCAACCAAAGGTGAAGCTGTCCTCGTACAAGCATACGAGAATTGTGATGCTTGACTTCATCTACTTGCGTATTTAAAAGCAAGTGCATCCTTTGACGGCCTATTGGGATGAATCTGGTTGTACATTCATCGCGGACGGGTCATCCGACCGTCGAGAGTGCCCTATCATGAACTTCTTGGCAGCAGGGGAGAAAGGTGCAGTTCTGGTGGCCACATTGTCAATGACCAAAGAAAGAAAACAGCACAGGCGTTAGCAAGGCTATGGGAGAAGATTATGAGAGAGATAGGAGTGCATCGCATCAACGTGATCTGCACCGACAATGCCGAGGTGAACAAGAAGGCTGCTCAGATTCTGGAGCGCCACACTGACAAAGATATTGCAAGGATTCCATGGGTTCCTTGCGCTGCGCATTGCAACCTTTTGCTGCAAGATGTCAACAAGCTCGAGCGGGTGAAGAGCACCGTGAAGAGAGGCCACACAATTGTGAAGTTCATCCGGAACCACCACCGCACGCACCGCCTGATGATGTCCTTCGACGATTCCCTGTTATTGCTTCGGCCCACGGAAGTTTGGTTCGGGTTAGTGTACATGATGTTGGAGAGGCTTCAGAACAGGAGGGCAGTGTTGTCGGATATGGTGGATCGAAAAAATGCAGCACGGTGGACAGGGATGCGTTGGTCAAATGCAAAGTTGAAGTCGAAAGCGGACCTGGTGTACTTCACCTTAAGGAGAGACGGCTGGTGGACGGAGTTGAAGAAGGTGGTTGACGTGATGGAACCGTTGTACAACCTTCTCAGGAGGATGGATCGAGATGGAACAGTGCCAACAAACCTCATTGAATATGAAGACCTAATTGAAAGAAAACTCTGCAGAGACTTGTCGGGGGTGATTGGAAAGGGCCAGACCACCTTGAGGTTTTGGGTGGCCGGCACGAGTTCCACAAGGAGCCCACGCCGAACAGGCCCAAGAGAAAGGACACGAAGATGTGGGAACCCGATGCGAAGACTGATTGCGAGAAGCTCGCAGCGACCGAGTGGTGAGCGACTTACAGCGGCGATGTCCCCGACTTGAAGGCCATTGCCATCAAAGTGACGGGCATGTGGAGTACGGCTACCCCAGCTGAGAGGAATTGGTCGTCCATGGACTTCGTGCATTCCAAAAGCAAGAACAACTTGAAGCCCGAAACATTGGAGAAGTTGGTGTACATCCACTGAAACATGCAACTCCTACGTGCTGCAAACAATAGTGGTGGCAACGGCAAGGGCTATGTTGATTTGTGGAATTCATTCTTCGAGGCTATTTCAGGGCATGACGAGGACGACGGATCTATCTTGAGGGGCCCCGAGGAGGAAGCCGAGAAGGCGGACGAGGAGCTAGTGCGGCAAAGTAGCTTCGTGAAGACACCAAAGGGAAGGATTCCAAATAAGCTTGAGGACGACGAGGACGAGTGCACACACGACGAAAGTGACTTGGATGATGAGCTGTGGAAGGGGAAGTGTGAATTGTCAGATGAGTCTAGCGCCGCAGAAGAGGAGGAGGATGAAAGTGATTCAGATTTTGAGCTGAGAGTCGAGCCGTATGTCAGTAGGAGAGCAGCTGCACGACGTCGGAGACAGGAGAAGCCCGTGGCTTCTACACAGGCCAGGGAAGGAAGCTCCTCTCAATACCTCAGTCTGACGTTGAGTTCCATCACTTGGACACAGACATCGAGTTGCTGTTGCAAAGTGTTCCGGTTGATGAAGATGAGGCGGAGGCCGACCGTGCAAAGGCATTAGCAGATCGCGATCGAGACGCCGTCCAAAAATGGATCATGGAGGAGGATGTTCCACATGCAGCTATCCCAACCCGGAGGGAGATTGAGAGACACAAGAAGAAGGTTGGGAAAAACGAACCGGGGACGCGCCGTCCATTGGACGTTGTGCAAGAGCGAGAAGAGGGTCAGCAGCAACAAAGTGAAGCGGTTGTGAAGGTGATGGAAGTCGCACTCCAAGAAGAGGAGAACGACAAGGTGCAGCCAAAAGGAGGCCGAGCAGCAAGAGGCAGAGCACCACAAAGAGGCGGAGGAGAAGAACCAGCAAGAAGACAAGGACGACATGGAGCAGCAAAAAGAGGCGGAGGTGGAACACGAAGAAGAGGACGAGGTGACGAGGAAGGGATGGAGAGGCAAGGACAGCAGGAGGACATGGAAAAGCAAGAAGAGGCGGAGGGCATGGACCAGCAGGACATGCAGCGCAACGTGGATGAGGAGGACGACGAAGAGGAGCACCAGCCTGCAGTGAAGACTGTGTACACGTGTAGGCAACGACCGGTTGTGTCCACACAGTCGGCTGAGTATACACCCGACTTCCCTCCCAACAATGAGGCTGTCCCACATGACAACCTGTGGGTGAGCAGGATGGGGAGGAAGAGAAAGGAACCAATGGATGCTGCTGCTGCAAAGCCCAAACGTGGTCGTGGCAGGCCCTGCAAGCCGAAGACCGGTGAACCTGTTGCAAAACCAAAGAAAAAGAGTCGCCAGCGCAAGGCTCGAGCGGAGGTTGTGGAGGATGACCCCGAATTAGATAACTGCAGTAGACAGTCATCTGAATTCGAGGGATGCCACTCCGATTTGCGAATGAGGTCGCCATGTGTGTGTGTGTGTGTGTGTGTGTGTGTGTTGTCATATTCGCTATACACTCAAAAAAAGCATGACTGTACCAGACTGTTTCGTCAGACTTTCACCGACTCATCAGGAGGTTGAACCTCGACAGTCTGCCCAGGATGCATTTGACTGATGGATAAGGACTCACCACGTCGCCTAGAGTTAGCAATACCCCTGAGAAAAGTGGTCGACTTTACACACACCAACCTTGTAATCCTAGAAGACTGTCGGTCCAAACTCCTGACAAGAATGGTAGTAAGTTTGAGAAACTAATATGACACAGTCATAAAACCCACTCTACACACCCACTCAGCCAGGGACACCAAATGGCATGACCGCTAGTACGGCCCCGACCCTAGCCTCATCGATCCGCTGAACGGAGAGCTTAGCAAGGTTGTGTTGTGTGTTGTCATATTTGTGTGTTTGTGAACGTGTGTGAGTGTGTGTGAGTGTGTGTGTGTGTGTGTGAGAGAGAGAGAGAGAGAGACTTTTGTAATCATTTGTGGAGCAATTTGGATGTGCTTTCTCTCCAGGCTCGTTTTTTTCTTTTCTTTTCGGTCTTGTCATCCCAGTACTCCTCTTCCTCCTCCTCCTCCTCCTTGTCCTCCTCTTCTTCTTCTTCTCCATCTTTTTTTTTTTTTTCCACATACACCCTGCAACAAGTCTCAAACATAACAGCAAGACAGTTGAGATTCACTTGCTTTCACCCCCTATCAAACGCCACCCCCGCCCCCGAACCCCTTGAACCACCACCCCCAACCCCCCACTGAACCCCCCACCCCCCGCAAGTTTTTTCTATTGCAGATTCGGGGTCCTCTAGGCTAGTGCAGCAAAACCCCGCCTTCAAAAAAGAATAAAAAAAATTCCCTGCTAGGTTTTGGGGTCGCCTGGATTTCCAGCGCGGACCCCCCCGGGCCCGCCCGCCCGGGGGACGCCCAGCCTAGGTGTTTATCCTTTTTTCTCTGACTTTGCTGGCCGCTTTGTTGAGGGTCAGTACGTTGTCCAGGATGTATCTCCCAAGGATGAAGTCTGTTTGGTCTATATGAAAGAATTTGTCTCTCAGGTCTAGGATTCAAAAAGCAAGAGCTTTGGTTAGGATCTTATAGGGAAGGGATAGAAGCAAGATGGGTCTATAAAACCTGATATCTTTTTTCTCCCTTTTTTTGTAAAACAAAGTGACCACGCTGCTACCCACTAAGTTTCCCAGTCCCCCCTTGAGCCTACTGTCGTTGTAGAAGTTTAGAAGATCACCCCCTAAGAGCGGCCAAAAATTTTCCCAGAATTTTTTTGTCAACCTGTCAATTCTTGGTGACTTGTTATTGTTCATACTTTGGACAGCAAACTGCAGTCCTTCCATGGTGATAGGCTTGTCCATAGCTTCTGCTTCTTACTGAGATATGGTTTGTTCCAGGTATTGTAGCATCCTCGTTCGTGCCTCTCTATTGCTGGGAGGAGTAGGCATGGGGGTCTTCATGTGATAGAGCTCGTCATATAATTCCTTTGCCACATACAACATTCCTTCACCATCTGCCACTGTTTCAGTTGGATTTGAGAAGGTTTTCATGCTTTCTATCGCATTGGTCCTTGAGTTTGCTTGATTCTTGCGAAGAAGTTTTTTGACATCGACTCACTTAGCTCATATTCGTTCATTTTGGCCCTTATTTGTACTCCCTTTAGTTCCCACCATCTCTACATAGTGCGTTCTTCTCTTGCCTTCCCAAAGATATATGTGTACAGTGCAAAAGAGCGATTATCAATCAGATTAGTCTCTGTGATCTCCATGGCTTTCTCCAACGCTTGCTAACTTTGTTTCCTTCGGTCGCTAATTTTCTCGAGAGTCTGGCAACCGTCCATGATAATGTGGAGTAGCTCTCCTGAAACCATTCCCACCGATCCTGTATGGGTAGGTAGGCACCCCTCAAATTCTCCCAACACTCATGAACTCCTACCTGAAAAGCCTGGCTCAGTAGGAGGGAATTGTCGAGTTTGTGAAAGCTAGACCCCTTTTTGACAAACTGTTCAAAGCTAATTATGAGTTTGATGGGTTTGTGGTCGAGACCTGGGTACGGTGCGAGGGGTAGGATCTCAGCGCTTTTGGTTGTCCCCATTAGTGTCCCTAAGATCAGGACGTAGTCAATGAAGGAGAAAGCGGTGTGGTGGGCATGGTTGTTTTTAACCAATGTGAAGGTTCTTGTCCCCGGATGCAAAGTACAATATGGTTCGACTAGATTGTAGTCCATCATCAACTTTTGGATGGGCACCGTTTCCTATGTAGGCCGACCAGCCAAGGACCTGGATATACGATCCGTGGCAAGGTCTATAGTTGCGTTCAAGTCACCGACCAAAATGCAGGCCGACAATGGGGGGATCAAATGATTGATGTTTGTTATAAATGTTGATCTGTCTGAAAAGTTGTTTGATGAATAGACATTGATTACTCTGAAATCTTCCTCCTTCCACTTTACATCCATAAGGCACCATCTACCCTTTACCGTGTCTGCCTCTTTGCCCACTATCGACCCTGTCGTGCATAGGATCATTGTTCCTTTCGTGCTTGATGTATTATCTGCGAAACATATTTCGTCCTTCATTCCTTTCAGTTTCCTTGATTAAAGTTTTCAAATTTTGTTGTATTCTGCTGAGTAGGTGAGGTGAGTTTCTTGCAGCAATATGATATCTGCCAATTTATTTGTTTGAACGATAAGTCCTTTGACGATGTCATTCATTTTTTCTTCTTTGTCAACAATATTTTTGAGACCATTAATATTCCAGTTCCTAATGACTATACCTTGCCTTTTCCAGTCCACCCAGTCTTCCTTTGTGTTTGCCCCCTTTCTAAAAGTCTTCATCATTGAGGCAACGGGGAAGAGGTAGGGGTACAATCAGTGGTAGACAGCCTAGGAGGGGGCTTGATCGCTCACATCCATCTCTGTTGGCCCATCACCCGGTGGGTCCTGTTGCGCAGTGGTGACTGAATCATCTAGCTTATATTCCCCCACACTTCCACTGGTTCCCTGTCCGGGGACGAGGGTCGGTTCTGAACTTACTCCCCCGACCTCATCTTGCCACTCCTCCATATCACTCTCGGAGCAATCGATTATGTAATATATGTCAAGTCCTCATAAGAGCTTCAGACTCGTCGTTTTGCTCGTTAGTAAGAGCAATGGAAGCGTTCTGATTGGCATCAGAAATGAAGATTAATTGGAAGAAAACAATCGGCTGGTGGCTATCAGAGGAGGGAGTTGCCCAACTTCAAGGCCTCGAGGCAAACATGACATGGGAGACACCAGAGACCCCTACGCTGTATCTAGGAACCCTGCTGACAAAAGATGGCTTCGCCCGTCAGATGGCCCAAAATATACTTGTCAAACAAATTAACAGGGTAGATGGGGTAGCACATTCACATCATTGTTGGGCCGAGCTCTAGCCATTAACACATCTATTTTTTCAATAATGTGGTATATAGCGTAAATCTGGACAATTCCGGACCATACAATCAAGGAACTTAACCGCAAAGCAAGAGCGTACTTGTGGTCGGGAGATCCCAACAAAGAGAACTGTATACCAAAGATAGTCTGGCATTACATCACAAGGAAACCAGCCAGAGGAGGTCTTGGTATTATAGACCCCAAACAGGAAACCAAAGCCCTACAAGTTAAATGGATAGTCAAACTACTGACTAAACCTGGTACGACATGGAATAAACTGGCCTTCGATAGCATAAGGGGCCTAGCACAGAAAGCCTCACCAGCAAACATGTGCGGTCTGTTCTGGGTAATGACCAAGGAATGGAGCCCAAGTACAGGGCATAACAATCAACAAAGAGGAAGCGATCCACAGGAAGCCAGGCCCCCCACACCATACTGGGCTGCATTGCTACGGATATGGCGGGAAATCATGTCTAAGAAGTTGGGTAGACCCAAATCCAAGGACGAGATATTGAGGCAAACCCTGTTTGGTAATCAGTGGGTGAGAGACGGAAGTGATCACCAGCTATCCCTTAACCCTAGAGGAAGGAGATGGCTATCGTCCATCAAACACAGAGTTTGGAAAGTGACCCATCTTTGGAACAAGGAGAAAAAGGAGTGGGTGACAGAACAGGAGCTTGCCTCCCAGCTCAAAGGATGTCACAGACGAGACGAGAATTTACAATCCATTACTAACTGCATCCAGAAGGCTGGAAGGTGTTGTTGAGCGAAGCCTCAACCTGGAAATCGGGTGAAAGGGGAGTGAGGGTGCATGATTTAAACCCCTCAAGGGCCTATCAATTTTCCCACAAACAGCAAGAGTCGGATACCCTGGCTGCCTGTACCTCTTTCCCAATTACCCCCTCCACGCAAGGCCTCCCATCTATCCTGAATAAGGAGGAAAGAACAGCCCTAAACCCTTTTCTTCTCAGAAAAGTAAGAGTGTGGGGATCATGGCCAAAGACAATCTTCGGAATAGATACGGTGATTCAAGACCTGGAATTTGATCCAATAGAGTGGGCTTGGACACCAGACAGAAGCAAAAGTCTCAAAACGAATATACCAATCCAGGAATACACAGCCAAACTGGGATACAACTTACTTTTCAAAACAAAGGATCCCGACCCAACAATCAAGAACAGATGGCAGAAGTTAATAGGTCAGTACGTTAGTCAGATCCCACAAATACCATGGAAAAAAATCAAGTCAATCCGCCCGGTCAAAATCAGAAGCCTCCAATGGCTCATCTCATACGTGGCTCTACCGGTTAACCAGTGGCTGCATACCAAAAGAAGTAAGAATGACCCCGACAGTTCAGATTTATGTCCGGCACGCTCAGAAAACGAACCAGCAGATATGCTACACTGCCTGATACGTTGTAGAGAGGCAACGAGAGTATTGGGCGAGGGCCTCGGATCTCTGGGATTCCCTCTTCTCGACTCCCCTCCCGGAACACCCCATCCAACTCCTATGGGCTAACATTCCAGCTCGATTCCATAAGACAGAGAAAACGTGGTTC